ACTTTATAAGCCTCAACAAATACAGTCTTTTCCTTACTGATCTCCTTGCTTCCAGTTTTCTTTCTCTAATATATACAGAGAAGTTTAAGGAAAATAAAGATCACCATATTGCCAGACACTACTACTGTTAACAGTTTTCTCCTAAAAAGTGGGCCATTTTCTATGTATGTGATTTTGTAATATATTTCTCATGTTTTGCAATAATGTTCTATACCAAGATTTAACACATTGCCACACTAAAAAAAAAAATTTTTTTTTTCCTTGGGGCCATAAAACTTTGAAAACAAAAGGATCCCTTCTAATTTATTGAAAAATTTGTTATTTTTTATTTTCTGTGCGTGAGTTATATGCAACTTGAAAAATAGTACACGGGGCTCCCAAAGTGAAGAGATACACGCTTTACGAGGCCCTGGGCTCAAAACTAACATGAGTCGAATACGACTCACATGGCCGTTAATGTGTTAAAAAACATATTTTCATAGAATCGTAATATTCTACAAGCTGCTAAAGGTATACTGTAAGTAAAAGTGTTCCAAGGTCAAGAAAATTTGGGAAATGCTGAATTTATTCCATTTTCGAACTTTTAGATTTTTTGTTTTACTGTGATAAATGTGATCAATATATGTGTACATAAATTTGTGTGCAGTGTTTCCTAACTAAAGGTCCATAAGAACTGTGTCAACAGATATGACCATTTAAAAAAGTTTTTTTTGTAAATACAAACCTCTTATATGTATATATTTAGATAATTTCAAATTAAGATCATGCTTTATATATACTATTTTATACCCATTTCTCATGTAAAATATGTATATGAGCATTTCCATGTGGTAAATGTTTTTAATAACACATGAAGAAAAATAACATCTGTGGTTGTATCTGTATCCCTTTTATGATATTTATATAATATATTTTTATTATATTTCATTTTGGTTGGCCAACCTTTTGAGTTTCTTCTTAACAAAAAGCTTCTGGGTAAGTAGGCACCTAAGAGCAGATAAGTGACTCTTAATTCTAACAGTGAGAGCTCTGCTCAGTGTTTGCTGTTTTAGGGGCCCCAACAAACAGTACCGTTTTCTCCCATTCAAGTGGAACCACTTGAGAGAAAAAAGGGAATCAAGCAGATAGAGATCCAAATAAATATCATCTGTCTTATCAGTGGGAAAAAGCTGGATGATTGCAGTGAACATTGGCTTTCTTGCAGTCTCTGTCCCCTAAATTTAGACTTGGAAACTGCCCACTGAGGGAAGAATCATGTCTGCAGTGCATGTCCTTTGGACTGTTGCCTCATTTGTTGTTGTACTGCCATTCATTCTTTCTGCTGAGCTCTTGCTTCTGGTTGGCATGCTACGTGAAAAAGGTAGTTTTTCCATTTTAGACAGACAACGTTATGAAGTCTGCCTGAAGGGTTGGCCATGTGTCTGAGTCTGACCCTGGTGACTCCCGTCAGCAAGAGATTGATTGGAGAGGAATCTGTTGTCAACTTAGCTGGTATTCCATTGGTAAAGTATCTTCCTATCTGGTAATTAATAGCTGCTTTTAAAAGAGATGGTTGGTAAAAGGCAAGTAGAATTGTTTTAAGTTAGCTTCCAGGATCCTCTGATTCTCTGTCTCTTGTGTTCCATTCTTCCCAGTTTTGCTGAAGACCTGTGAGCTGCACATGGTATAAATTTTGATTTGTACCTGTTTTAGATCTTCTAATATCCCAACTCACCAGTATAACCACCACCATATTTGGATCTTAATGGCCTTTTCTATTCTTGGATGTTCTCCCCTGTTTTGGACCCAAGAACCTAATGGGACTGTGTTTCTCTAAATTCTTTGGGATAGTACATGGCCAGACCTTTCCCATCCTTATATTTTAGAATATAGGAACTAATTTCTAATCACAATCTTGAACTTTAAGGTCCTCAAAATAGTTCTCCTGTGATCTTCTAACATTCTTTAGGACTGAGTTGTTTCTTCTACAATGGTCTCATGGTGGTGTAGTACAGCTGCTGCTTCATCAGCCATTTGTCTGGCCAGTGGTCCTCCCTTAGTGTGACCCTGAACTTTGAGCACTAGTACCCTATCTTTGGACTAACTGAGGCATGAAGATATTTTCTTCATTGCTAGTGGCAGAATTTCAACTGCATTTGGGGTTGAAATGATTATTGGTTTCCAAGTGCAAGAGCTAGGTGCTGTCTCTGAATACATAGTCAGAATTGGCTATAATAAGCATCTTTGATTCTTCTTTATTCTCTCACAATACGGTCCCAATTACAGCTAGTTGTGCCTTTTGAACTGAATCATAAGCTGCTTGATATTGCCAGTTAGTTACTAATCTTCCCTGCATATTTTATCATTTTTAACATGGCTAATTTACTCTGCTTGATAGATGGGGTGTGATATTTTTGCTGGGGCACAAACACACTCATGCCCTGAATATATAACTTTCCTGCCTAGACAGCAGGCTCTTGTAATTGTTTCATAGAGAGTAGTGGTTTGTCTAAGGACAAAATCCTCTGGGTAGTGTGGTTGTTATTGACCTGCCCTTGTAAAATCTTCCTCACTGCGAAGTTAGGCAGATTGGTGGCACAATTAGATCTGGATATTGTCACCGAATCCTGTATGAAGTTTTAAGTACTCTCCAGTAACTGACAAGTTGGACCCTAATTCATCTCTCCACTGCTATGCACCTGTGAGGTCTATGCCACAGGTCTCTTCTCTCTTTAATGTGTTTAGGTTAGCTCAGTAGCTATGATATCCATATATCCTTAAGGTAGTGCCTATTGAACAATGCATCCCAGATTCAGAGATACTAAACTTTAAAAATGGAAGTTTTGGAATTGATGAAATATGTAGTATTAAGGTTAGCACTAGATAGAAATTATAATATGAAAGAGCTCCTCAGCACTTGGTAAGGCCAACTCTGTTGCTCCAGCTCCTGACTCTTAAGTAGTTCTCCTGCCAGCTGGTGGTGTGTCTCACGGTGTTGTGGCATGGATTCACTGCAGAACTTTGCTGGCCTGGGTCATGACCAAATTCACTTGGCTCTCTCCCAGTCTACTGCTTCTCCCCTGAGATACTTAATTCCCAAGTGTGGCATTGTCATGTGATTCAGCTGTACCTTTTTTTCATTTTTATTCAATCCAGCCCCTTACAAATATCCCTTTTCTCCCTCCTTCTGCCCTCCCACCCTTGGTTAATTTTTGGTCGTCCTTTTACCACGTAGATTTTAGCAGGAGGTTATCAACATACTGGACTATTATGTTGGTTAGTCTGTCTTGGTTGGCTTCTTTTGTCTTTAGAATATTGCTGGTGACCCAGAAACTTTAGTACAAAACTATCCATGCCCATTCATCTACTTTTCCATGTGAGTTCAATTCTGTTAGCGCATAGGTCTTTCAGTGTTAATGTCCAAAGCCATTCTCTAAATTCATGTAGATCTCTAAAGTCTGTTATTAAAGATTCCATTTCGCTAATATCTCTGGGTATGCCGTTACTCTGGGAGCAGTTGAGATTGAGACATATTTAGTCCTCTGCTAGCAAATGTAAGCTTCTAAGTACTGTTCAGCTGGAGATTCCAGCTGCAGAGCCGTTCATATCTCTTACTGCTTTGTGAGGTATACTCTGTTGTTTACAGTTTGTAGAGGTTCACCATTCAGAATGCCATCTATATGTCTAGGCCAGTCAAAGCCAGATATCTGCAACTTTAATTTCATGTGGAATCCATTCACAGGCTTCCTAGGGCTTTAATTTTCATGGATTCACAAAGCCATGGATTTTACCTAACCTCTATAAATTACAGGTTTTATTAATCACTTTGCTAAGTCTCTGGTAATTTTAATTTGATCAGACCCCGTAACACTGAGTTTAAAATGATTCCCTCACATCCAGTCAATGTCTGCTGCTTCTACCTCACATTCAAATTGGCCTCTTTAAACTAATATTTTTGTTTATCCTGTTGTGCCTTCCTTAATATAAATTCTAATTTTCCCAAAGCCCACATTCTCGGGAGTGGTAGCTTCATGAGGCTAATTTAAGTCCCTGTATCAATAATGAAATTCCAGGGAACCTGATGGTCAGTCATCTTGTGAAATACAAGCTGACCACTTTGGCCTAGCAGAGTACCGGGACTGACCTTGGAAAAGTGCCAGATCCAAGACTCCGGGCCTTCCTAATCCTGGGCCCTCCATTCTTTAGCCATTCGATTGGCCTGCTCTCCTTCCTATCAAAATTATATGACCTTGTTCTGAGCCTTACTTAGAACCAGTTATAGCTTCTGCTTTCTCATGAGAGCTGAGTATCTCAAATTGATAGCTGGCAACCCTGTTGGCAAGGTTTGTGGCTTTATAATTTGGACAACCCCAGTTACTTGCTCTCAAAGAGTGCCCTGACTTTATCTGGTGATGCCTGGTTGACTGGTATCCCCACATCCCTAGATGTCTATCTTAGATTCTCTCAGAACCTATCTGATTTGTTATTCAGAGTCTTAGGGGCATATAGCCATCCTTTTTGTTCATGGGCCCGTATGTGTATTTTTTTAATATATTCTTCTAAAATTAACCTTATGTTTTTGTCCTGAACAGCAATTAATGAATCATGTTCTAATTTTCCTTAAGGCCAAGTTGGCTAGGTGGTTTTTCCTGAGCTTCTTAATTTGCCCACATGTACTAATAAACCACTGTAATCTAAGGTTGACTGAGCGTTCCCTGGAGTTTGCAATCTGATAGAGCCTAATAAACACATAGCTTAGTGAAGTACGAATTATGTTGTATTTCTAAACCCCTGAACTCTAATGTTATTTGTTTATCTGGATATAAGGATAAGTGGTGACAAGACAATAAGCCCCTGAAAATCCTAGATTAATAATATATATTAATTGTATTTTTTCAGTATTTTGTTATGGAAAGACAGGAAAGGTAAAAGGCACCAAAAATAATTTTGGCTAAAAATATTTCTGTTTTTGTCTGAATTCAAGGTAAATTAGCTATTTTGTTTTCTTTTTTTTTTAATAGGGTTACACATCATTTTGGAATGACTGTATATCATCCGGATTACGTGGCTGTATGTTAATTGAATTAGCATTGAGAGGAAGGTTACAACTAGAGGCTTGTGGAATGAGACGTAAAAGTCTATTAACAAGAAAGGTAAGAGAAGTGCTGAATAGCATTCTTTTTAAAGAGTTTATATTGCTTAAAATGAAGAGTGTTTTCTAATAGCTTTCAAAAATTAAAGTGGAAGTTGATTTTAAAGTTGTCTTTATTGAATTGTGTTTCCATATCCTTTTTTCATTCTTGGTTTCCCGATTCTTTGTACGTATAATGAACACTGGAATTCATTACTAGAATCACTGGCCACTGTAGCGTACATCTTCAGAAAAATTCCGTACCTTCATTTGCTGCTTTTGAAAGCCATAATTTTGAGAGACTTGACATAAAAAAACCTCAGAAGTGCTACTCTGCAAATTACCCATAGGTTGTTCTTTTCATCAGACTGTGAATACTTTTCAGATCTGTCTTCTCCACTGTGAAGGGGTGGGTGTGTGAGGTTAGCTGTTCCTTGGCTTCTGTAGTAAAATAGAGGTATTATTGGCTAGTTATTAGAATTTTTAACTTTGACCTCAATCTTAAATAATCAAGGCTGTTTTCCAGTCTCTCATTGTGTTTCTCAGGGGCATGGTGTTTCAAAACTAATTTTTCCTGAGTAGAGTATCCTAATGAATCCAAAAGTTTTAGGTTAGAACTGAATATTTTTTTTTTTTTTTGAGACAGAGTCTCTGTGTTGCCCGGGCTAGAGTGCCGTGGCGTCATCCTAGCTCACAGCAACCTCAAACTCCTGGGCTCAAGCAATCCTTCTGCCTCAGCCTCCCGAGTAGCTGGGACTACAGCCATGCGCCACCACCATGCCTGGCTAATTTTTTTCTATGTATTTTTAGTTGTCCAATTAATTTCTTTCTATTTTTAGTAGAGACGGGGTCTCGCTCTTGCTCAGGCTGGTTTCGAACTCCTGAGCTCAAACAATCCGCCCGCCTCGGCCTCCCAGAGAGCTAGGATTACAGGCGTGAGCCACCGCGCCCGGCAGAACTGAATATTTTTTGATTTGATATGCTATAGAGAGCAATAATTCTGTTGGGAAGAAAGCCATTAATGTATTGTAGAAAATTATATGCAAAAAGTAAAGATGTTATTAGAAAATTTTCTGCATGGATTTTAAAATTAAATCTACTCTAGTCATTTAAAGTCAGGTCAAGTCACCTGGCATATTAGTTAAAAAAAATTATTGGCTGGGTGTGGTGGCTCACGCCTGTAATCCTAGCACTCTGGGAGGCTGAGACGGGCGGATCGTTTGAGCTCAGGAGTTCGAGACCAGCCTGAGCAAGAGCGAGACCCCGTCTCTGCTAAAAAAAAAAAAAATAGAAAGAAATTAGCTGGACAACTAAAAATATATGGAAAAAATTAGCCGGGCATGGTGGTGCATGCCTGTAGTCCCAGCTACTCTGGAGGCTGAGGCAGTAGGATTGCTTGAGCCCAGGAGTTTGAGGTTGCTGTGAGCTAGGCTGATGCCACGGCACTCTAGCCCGGGCAACAGAGTGAGACTCTGTCTCAAAAAAACAAAAAACCCTACTATTTTAAATAATTATATAATAGAATAGAATTTTTATTTCCTATTACTGTACAACCATAGTGATTTATGGAGGGGAAAAAACCTTAGGAAGCTGCCATTAATCAATGAAATAGATGCATAGGTTACTACTAGTTATAGTAATTGTAAGCAATTTTGCATTAATGTTATAGGACCCTGACCTAAGTGAAAAGATTTTTATATTGGTTCTTTCTGTAGGAAGAAGAACCAGTTTGGTATTGTCTGTGGTATCAGTCAACTGTTTGTTCTTTCATTTGTTTATTCATCATATATTTATTTAGTGCTTAAGTACACCATGCACTGTGCTAGGCCCTGAGGATACAGTCATGACCAAGAGAGACATGTTCCCTGCCTGTGTGGGCTTATTATTTTGCCTACTATTTTGAGTGATCTTAACTAGGTTTTACATCTTTTGGGAAAATACTTCAGTATGATTTAATTGCTAATTTAAAAATAATTATTGATCTTATTAAGTGATACACATATAAAAGTATAAAATCAAATTTTACTAGCAAAAAAGAGCAATCTTTTGCCCATTCTTCCTTACTCTTTAGTTCTGTTTCTGAGGGGCAGCCATTTTCAGTCCTTGTATTAGTTTCCTAGGACTACCTTAACAAATTACAACAAATTTAGTGGTTTAAAACAACAGAAATTTATTCTCTTACAGTTCTGGAGGCTAGGGGTCTGAAATCACGGTGTGTGCTATGCTCTAAAGGAGATTCTCTGTTCCTTGCCTCTCTCAGCTTCTGGTTTCTCCAGATGTTCCTTGCCTTCTGGCTACATCTGTTTCTGCTCTGTCTTCGTACTGCCTTTCCCTTCGTGTGTCTCTAATGCAGAAACACTTGGCACATTGAATTTAGGGTCCATCTGATTAATCCAAGACAAAGACCCCTTTCGCAAATGGGGTTCTGAGGGTTAGGATGCAGACGCTTTGGGGGCCACCATTCAACTATGATTCTCTTAGTTATTTCTTTCGGCATTTTTGTCCATGTTTTAAATAAGCTTATACTGCCATCTCTTGATATATCAGCTTGAGGCACTGTTTACTTTCTGTTAGAATAGATTAATATTTGGCTTTCTTATGTCCTACCTCCCCTACCCCCTAATCAACTATGTTGATACTGTTTTCTGTGGAGTTATGTTGTATATTTTCCTTTCTAATATATGGTTTCCCTCCCAGAATCAATAATTCTGTCTTTTTTTTTCTGGTTTTCTGTGTAGATATTCTTACCTTTTTCTTAAATGTTCCATCAGAGAAAAATTATTATAAATTTTGAAATGTTCAGTTATATTAGATTCTACAGTCTGGACTGGTTATCTCTGGTTCTGTTGCATAGCTGTCCTGTCACATTGTATTCAACCCCATATTTTTTGGATCTTATATTTTCTTCTACCTTTTTGGGAGAAAACTGTTTTGAGACTCTGT